GGTGGCCCTCATTTATTCACACCTGTGACAGACATAGCTAACTGAGCCTTTTCTTGTTTAGAGTTGATTTCATTCTTATTATTAAGGAGCAGCATGCGACTAAAGATATCTATGGGTTGCGTGTTGTTCTTAACTCGAGCGTAGTGGCTCCCTCAACGCCGCGGGATCAGGTTCAAGTGGTTGACCGTCGCTCGCAAAGTGAATCCATTGGTTTTGAAATCTCTGAATGTGACATTGCTCCTCCTGTCTTGCATGAAATCGTGTGCCAGTCAATGTGATAGGAAGATAATCTGCCTAAATACAAGTGTTGGCTGCTGCAACCGAGATATACTTAGATCGCGGTTATGGGTTATAAAGTATTGTTAAACTTGACAACAAATTTTCAGTAAGAAACCTTTTGTATTCATTCTTTCACATTTTTAGCTTCTGCAGTTTTTGGTCTTCGAATAGATGTGACTCTGATCGCAGGTTTTTGACGAGTTCCCTTACTGCCTATTATATAATGATGCTGGGGAAATTCGCAAGTCTGTTGCGTAATTCCGCATTCGCTGATCAGGTATTTTCGAGCTTCACCATCAGAAGCATGATGTCTGCTGCGCTAGATAAAATTGGGCTACAGGCAGGGTAAACAATCGATATTGCTCACTCACTAAAACATTAGCAAACTGTAATCAAAATGACTCTCGAACCGAGCTCGTCTGGTGGAGGGAGTTATTTATACACTCCCTACAAGCCAAGGAAATGCCAACCAATCTAAGTGTGATCAGGAGATCTGTTAGACAACTGGACAGCTCTTTGCTTAAAATCCTAGACCTTTTGCTCGTGAGTTGGAAGCCACATTAAAGCGCCTGCCTTTGCATGGGGAATGATTTCCAGAGACATATGCCATTTCAATTATGCAAAACCTTTGGGAAATCCGAGATAGCATCAGCGGTTCCCTTATGCACAAAGGAAGGATGTCACAACGCGAAATCAAGGCACCTATGAGAGCGTAAATTCTCCTGCTGAAGTTACCATGTAAATACTGCTTCTATTAGAAGTCATGCTCCGTACTCTTCCTGTTAGTGTCAAATATATCCTTCCGCTCTTCCTTCTGTGAAAATATCACGAACCTGCTGGAGATACTGAGGGCGTCCTTTCAGCTAGTAACTAATTTTTAACCAGCGTCATTGCAGGGGGCCAAAAGCATCCCGCAGGTATACAAAATTACTCCTCAAGCACTAACTATAGCACAAAGCGTCTCGAGTGTCCGGAAAACATTACACAGGCCAATTGGTGTCTGTAAGGCCATGTGTACATCAGTATATGCAGTTCTCCAAGGCGCTGTTCATGATTCCAGGCTGCGGATTGGAACTTCCATCATGGCATAATGTCTTATCTTGTCCTGCTCGTACAGTTCAATATTGGTAACACTCATGCAACATGCCTTGAACCGTTTGTACTACGAGCCTTCAACTTAACCGGAAGGCGTTTTTCGTTAGACACCGTGAATGCAGCGGCTGATTCACTCACAGCAGTGAACATGTTCCGGTATTTACAGTTCCATCAACAGCTTAATGATCTAATCACGTAGATTCCAGAGCGGTAAATGCAGGGCATCTTGACTTCTGAAGCCGGAAAATTCGGTTGACATTAAATACGATTGTCATCGTAACCCACAGGAGAATTCAAATAGAAGATATCAACACCTGTGCAGGTTATGTTTGGCAAAATATCTGTTGAAATCCTGATGTTTACTTCTTCAACCATACCTGGCACTTGTACGAGATTGGGGCTTCCAAATCTCCACAGTTTGAAGTAAATTATCCTTCCGATTGCCCTCTCTTAATTTCGCACTGAGCAAGGGAAACTCCTCCTCACTTTATTTCCAGCCAGAATTTCGTTCTTCTATCTTCCGCCATGTCTTTTGGACCAAAAGGTGCTCAAGCCCTTGGAAAACGCTTTGCGTAGTTTGATCATTGACTGCTTCTCCAAAATAACTTCTATCATCAATTGGAGCATTCTTGAGCAAGATGTGTCAGAGCGGGATGTACTTCCAAGGCTGTTTGAGATGAGAGGTTTAATCGTGCCGCTGCGCAACCCACACCTTCGTGTGGGTGCGCCACACCAAAACGATAAAAACACCAAAACGATAAAAATCTTGAATCACATCCTCATTATTGCACTCTATATCAACAACCAGTAGCTAATCTATAATAAAAAGATTATCTACATCATTCCCAGTATGTGTGCCATCTCCAAATCGATTTAATCCCTCTTCTGTCAATGGTGTGAGTGGGTTATTGCCAATTTTCATGGGACCAACTCCAAGCCTCCGTCACTCCTTATTCTGCTCTTTTTCAGCTTCATTATCCTTACGCCGCTTGATTTTTCTATTGGCATCTTTAATAGTGAGGACTCCCCATACTTGAACCTGGTGACGGGTTGTTTTAGCTCTGCGACGTTTACTGGCGTTGAGAAAGTTCTCTAATTCAGTGGTCTGTTGCTCATTAAGTTCCGCGTGGATTAGACTTGCTTTGAATATCTTGTTCAAATGACGTGTCAAGGTGGGTGATTTCAAATCAAGAGTATCTCTAATACTTTGTATGGCGTTTTCCGCAATATTAATATGGTGTTTCAGCTTTTGAATTGTCTTTGGTGAGGATAGCTGAGAGGAAGAGGTAGGTATGTGATCTGAATCATTCTCATCTTCATAAATCTGCAGTGGAGGAGGTGATGAGATTCACTGCTTAAGAGTGTCAAGAACTCGGTCAGGATTCCATGGATATATGCCACGTTGAGCCCATCCTGCAGCTATTGTATCAGATTTAAAGGTCTGCTTTCGCATAGCTGAGAGGTCTTGTAGGAACTGCCGTTTTTCATACTTAACAAGACCATGGCGTGCAGCATAGTTGACTGCTTTTGAATGGTAATGCTTATATTGCTGAAATGGTAGACTATCCAGAGGTTGTAGCAAATGAGTGGCATGCGATGGAAATCCATATAGAATTATCTTATGAAGATCCGCGTATTGTATGAACTCCTCAGTGATATGAGATCCATGATTATCCATTAAAAGCAATTGATGACTTCCTTTCTGTCTCTTTTCTGTAGCAGTATTGAAATGTTTGAGCCATTCAAATCCAATCTCATCATTTGTAAATCCAGTATCTGATATAGCAATTCTATAATTGCTGGGCAAATCTGTCTGTGTATACCAATCCTCCAAGTGTGTTTTGGAGGCCAAGATTATCAATGGCGTAATGACATGATTATCCATGGATACACATTCAATGACTGTAATCAAACCTCTTGAAAAGGATGAAGGAATGATGGAATTAGCTTCTTTAAAAGCAGTTATAACCCATTCTCCACGTCCTTGTCCTTCTTGAAATCCAATCTCATCGAAGTTGTATGTGTCACAGGCGTGAAATTGATACTGCTCAAATAGAATCCGGAGACATTCAAACCTTGTATTGATATATCCAATATCTTCAACTGCCACTCTCTTTGGATCCATTGGCTTCTGTTTCACCCTCTTATACTCAGGTAGGCGTTCAAAGAACCTATAAGTCCACATCTTGCTGACTTTTGAAGGAGAGGTAGTAGGATCTATGTGCTGACATCTGAGCATTGAATTTGCGAAATCTTCAATGTGTTCGGCTGTGGGAGGACAATTCTTTTCATCAAGCAGCTTGACCCATCGTTTAATTGCATCCTCCTGACTCTCATTTAATCTCTTGTTAACTGGAACCTTTGCAGTATTCGGATTCCTTCCATTGATACGCGCTCGGAGACGTTGATAAGGAACCTCAAATTCTTGTGACAGAGGCAGTATTTTGGAATTTGGGTTTTTTTGGTGGTAAGCGACAGCTTTTTGAATACGGTCTTCGATATTTTTATCCTTATTTGACATTGTGGTGAGTTATTAATTGATGAAGATTATGAAGATGATGAAATTGCAAGATTTTTATCGTTTTGGTGTTTTTATCGTTTTGGTGTGGCGCACCCACACGAGGTGTGGGTTGCGCAGCGGCACGATTAGTGAAGAATTTACACTCATTTAGATGTTGCCTGAGAACTTGATGCGCTTAGCCCTATTTTGAAACTCTCATGTGATCATACCTGAAACCGTATGTCGGCTATCCATTCTGAACTTCGTCACGGACATAACCACACATTTCTACTCTTAGGATTTATTTTATTTTATTTTATTTTTATTATTATTTTTTTTTTGGGAAAAGAGCGTTCTTTTCTAGTCAGAAACTTTCTGAAAAGAGAATTGTTCAAGTTTTAAAGGCCCTAATATGAGAACAAGATCTCATCCATCAATATTAAATTTCGGGTTTGGATTGATATCACATGTCTTCATATATTCTTTGACATCTGCTCTCAGCTCATTTCAAATGTATTTACATTTGAGAAGCTCTTTAGTCTTTTCAATCCCAAAGTGCTCAGTATAAGAATCATCATGATGCATTCTTAATAGCTTCTGGCACACTGCTCTACTGTCGAGAGACAAGGACTGAATCATTTAGCAATAGAAGTTCATGATCGATTAGTTGTCAGTGATTTGATTCTGCAGAGGCATCTTTTCACTCTGAAAGCCCTTCAATTAAGTTCAATTCAGATTCTTCTTTTCTCAGATTCTCTATTTGAGTTGCAGTTGAGGCAATTTTTCTTCTGCAATTCTCTAACGAAATCAAGAAGCTGTCTGACTGAAAGTTTTAGGCAAAGAAAGAGGTGACTCTCGAAGCCGCAGGTATCGAAGCCCTATCCAGCGACGGAAGGGCCTAATTTTTACGTACCTGGGCAGTGCAAGTGACGCCCATGGCAACTGCTGGCTCCCCATATCATCTTCTGCTCATTTTACCCATTGATACGGTTTATAACTTTTCCAAGCACTTTGGGGAATTGGCTACACGGAGTGAAATCGGAGAATCTGTACACAGAAGAAATTCTCTCAACGCCCATCCATAATTCTAAAAAATGACCATGTTGCATCTATCACCTTCAATCAATTAAGCCTCATCTCCCTTTTCCGTGTTCGGATAGCCATCCTCGGGTAACAATTTCACCAACTTCTTAAAGTTCGGTGTTCCAAATCCCGTAACTGGATCCCACCCGGGCGTCGCATTCCAGCTAGCATATGGCACGAAAGGAGTTTGGAGCCCGGAGTACATATCTGTTCCAGTGCAGCCCGTGGAACCTCCGTCCGTGATGTCTGTGAATGCCTGGAAGCCAGAGCTGTATATCCAAGGGTTGAGGAAGCCGAGTACTGACTTGTTTTGCGAGATGCGGATGGCGTTTAGGTTGGAGATTATGGCTGCGATAGTTGGGGCAGATGCACTGTTTTTTATTTTTATTTTTACTTTTAGTATGGTAAAGCTTGCGTTCCTTTTACTTCTTCCTTTAAGATGGCATGCGTTGCCCAATTTGAAGTATATGAAAAAAGAAAAGAAAAAAAGAAGATGAAGAAATGATGCGTACCTTGTCCCGCCAACAGCAATCTCCTGTCCCTTATCGAATACGGCATAGTGCACGCCCTGGGCAGCAATGTCGGGGAACCCGCGTCCCTTTGGATTATACAGCCCTTCCCACCGGTTTCCAAGCTTATCAAGGTAGTCCTGGACTACCTCCTCTTGGTATGCAGGTCTGTCGAACCGCTCAGAAAATCCCCCTGAAGAGAAATATACTGCTTTCTCGGGGTTGATGCCTTCCGTGGCGCCGATGGACGTTACAAAAGGACAGGACGCAGGAAAGATGGGATTGAAGGTGGTGGTGTTCTTCCCGTCGTTCGACTGACAGGCACTGCCCACTCCAGTATCGCCGCTGCTGAATATTACAGAGACGCCTCGGGCACCCAGTTGCGCGAATAGACTGCACACTGATTCCGTATATTTGGCTGGGATGCTTTGCTCGTTTTCTCCATATGACGTGGAGAGGACTGTGGGGAGATCCTCGTCTGGCAGGGCGAGGAGGAAAAGTAGTTGCTCGAGGTATGGTTCATTGGAATTGCTGTCCATGTTTGGTTGGTCGAGGTCTGGAATGAGCTTCCCACGCCCTGCAGTCGTGTAGTAGGTCACATTTGACGTGGGTGAGAGACCAATGACGTACTGAATGTCCAAGTTCGCTTCAATGGAATCTTTGACGGAGTCCTGCTCATTGAGGCCACCGTTGATGGATTGGACGGAGAAGTTGGATCCCACGGCATCGGGGACGTAAGTGGTCAGGAATTTTTCGAGGTCCTTGTATTGGGCATATTGCTCGAGGTAACCGGAGACACCAACCTTGTTAGCAACTTCATTTGCCACTTTGCAATCCTCAAAGTTGTATAGTTTGCGCAGGCAAGAAGGGGTGTTTCTTGTGGTGCAATTTTCGGCTCCACCGTCTGTGCTGTTATCAGAAGCCAGCGGAGGAGTCCTCATGATAGTCGACCTCTGTGGCTGAAGTCTGGCAAACATTGTGGTTGGCTGGATCATGTGCACATTTGGAGCAATGGATGCGGGAACGGAATATTCAAGTGTGCGGATTTTATAATCTTTGTGTTTCTTGTCGATGAAATAGTAGAAACGCGTGTTCAGGAGACGTTCTACTTGTCCGACAGTGGCATCAAAGCTGATCCAGGCCCCGTTTTCTTTGACCTTTTCACGGCTGAGCCCTCCAGTGGCAAGCCAAGAGAGAAGCTGGTCAGATATTTCAGAACGGGGGCGTAAGAAGCTCTCGACCTCATTTCTTTTCATGTGCATGCCGTAACGGGGATGGCCTGGGGTGGAAAGGTCCAAAACATTTTGGTGAAAGATGGTTTGTTTTTCCTGATGCACAGCCAGCTTGAATCTGAGGACCGTGGTTTTATCCGGAGCAGGTCCCTGAGCCCAGCCATAAGGAATAGAAGCAAGTCTTTCAATGACTTGAAAGTAACCATCTGAGGACGCATGCACTCTTGCCCTGAGGCAGATAAACACGACGCCGCCCAGCAGAGTGAGAAACGACCGGATCATTGGGATGGGAATAAAACGAGCGACTGGAGCTGTGTCAAAGGAATGGAGTTAACAAAAGAAATGGGACAGTTGGAAGAACATAAGGACTCTGGCTTTTAGCAAGGTGAAGATTGTTGAAGTTGGAATCTTCCAGGGTTCAAAGGGACTTGAACGAAGCACGTGTGACACTGATTCTGCTAACGAAAGAGAATAGGGAGTTCCTAGAGGAAGAGGGGACAGTGGTTGGGGAGAGAGGGAGATACAGAGAACAACGGTGTACCATGCATCTCACCGGGTTAGCTCTCCCTTGCAAGTTCAAGTTTGCAAAAAGGAGAGCCAACAGCGGCAATAGAGCACATTCTACTTTTATTGTCCAACCATCGGGCCCTCGCGATCGGCATCGGGAAGTCGAATAGCCCATGCTCGCCGCTGTATCACACAACCACGGATTCTGCTTAGGTGGACGATCACGATCAGGGGCAGACCACTCACAGCTCCTCACAGTCAGACAAGGTAGTCCCGTGAAATCAAACACATTCCAATTGGCTCCCTTCCGGTGAAGCTAGAAGAGATAGGCAGTTTAATCTCCAGATCGAACAGGAAAAATATTTCGGTGGAAATCTGATTTCGAGCTTCAAAACTTCCATCAATTCCTGGAAAATACTGGGATTGATGATGGTCGCTAACCCCGGGCTGACATTCATTTACTTGGAAAGAAATACCACAAGAAGACCGACGAAATTGGCACACAGCAGCTAGAGAACTTCCTCCTGCGCTGATGCATGATGCGGTCGTCTGTTTTTAAAGCGGCAGAAACTGAAACATTCAAAAAGAAAACCTGAAAATCTTCGATAGCTGAACACATTTGCCAAGGAACAATCCTCAGCCTCGACAAGGCGGAGCTTGCAGCAGCACGTTAACTAATTTAGTTGCCAGTGACTACGGAGTCGAGCTATCATCGAATTCCATCTTTCGGAAGTTAGTTAAAAGAGCTTCCAAGGTTGGAGGTGCTCTGCTGTGAGATTTACTTGTAGCTGCAATAATTTGCTGTAACTGGAATAAATAGTGTGGGATTTTTCTTAAAAGAAGCTGGGTTGAACTATAAAACCTAGTGTCAAATTTTACATACCCCTCCCTGCTTTTTACTTCTTGATACCCTTTCTTCCCTTCAGCAGCATAGAAGACGGGAAGCATTCACATAAAGAGATACATATACACTATTAGTATCATTATTAGGCTTTATATCAACATCATTTTGTCATCTCAGAGTGACATGTTCAAAATGTTTATCATCAATTGTCATAGCAACTTGTACTGTAGAGCGCCCCCTCCCCCGGTTGGCACCTCACACATTTCATTCCCTCACAACGCGGCAAATCATCATTTCTTAATCAAATTCAATCATCTATCAAACAGCAATTCAGAAACTTCGTCCCGCTACCTTTCTCCTCTCCAGTCTTATCATACAACTTGATTCAAGTCAAAAAACCTTGCAATCATTTTGCTTCGAGAAGGAAAATGGAAGGAAATGTGGATATCCCAATTACTCCGCCCACTCTCCTGCCAATTGATCCAGATATCGAATATGATGAGAGTGACAATGGAATCCCTGTACTCTCTTCAAACGTCTCAATTGAACACAGCATTGCGGATGATGAAAGCAATGGCTTAACGATGCTCAATGACTCATTTTCCGGCTCCAGTTCATCATCTTTTGGTCCTTCTGGGGACACTTCCGTGGCTGAGTATATTCTGGCAGCGAACACTTGGATTTTCATGCTCGTGTGCGTGCTTCTTGCGGTATTCGGATATTTCCTTTATCTTATCCTGAAGTGGAGAGACTATCATGCAATGGCAACTTAATCCGTTGGAAGTCAATGCGTTGATCATATCATCCTCGGTATGCAAGCACCGAGTTGGGTCCCATTCTGAAAATCTCGCCCGGACATGGACCTAATGATGACCCAAGTGTTTCAGAGCAGGAAAGAAAAATCTGCATTTTTCATTCAACTTGCTGGTGGGAATGATTCAATCTCTCCCAATGAAACTCTCTGTTTTGAGGTTAGCAAATTTTAATTTGTTCTGATTACATTGTTCAGTTTTAGTTAATAATTATATAATATATATATTTTTTTTGCCTTTTTCTTACGTCCATTTGCCGGATGAGTCCAAAGTGGCTTAGGTTTTCGCAAATCAACACTAATCACAAAAATCTAGAGAGAACCACTTTCTCCGGCTGCTTTCCTGTTATTTGATATGTTTTGTTTGGTGTGTTCGTCTCCAATCTTCTTGATAATACAGATACAAAATTTTCTGACCTCTTATTGACTCCACTCAAAAATCGGCACAAAGGAAATCGATATCCCCATAGAAAGATAGAGGGCCAAAACAATAACTCAAAATCGTCAGAACATCTAGGCTCTTGTTAAATAGCAAGTTATATAAATTTATCAACTTGGCAACACCTTGTGGCTAGATCGAGATGTCTAGGCTATTAAGGATAGCAGCTGACGTACTTCGTTGTCCTTTTTGGAATGGAGGCTGGAGTCCACCACACGCGAGATAACTTCCAGGGTTTCCACCATTCGCTCAGCATGTGTGATGTTGCGAAGTGCGGTGGGGGTTTTAGAGAGTTTACAGATACGGGAGCAGCAGCTGCGATGCAGTGTAGGAATCGGAATACGAAGTTATATGGGACAAAAAATAGGTCATTTGACAAAGAATGTGGAGCATCTATATAACCATACGGGCGATCAAGGAGGAACTGCAGGATGAAGTCATCAAAGAAGAGTTGAGTATAGGATAAAATCGGGAGAATAGTCACCAATGACCGGACAAGCTCTAAAATTTCAGATACCTCCAAGACTCGCAGTCTGAACAGCAAAAGCGAACAATTCGCATCCTTTGGCCAGTCCCAGGACGCGATGATGGTATTAGCTTAAGAGGTGATATACATTAAGCTTGGATGAAGTCTCCGATTCGGTGGCTCTAATTTGCCTAACGTTTCATTGATGATCTTTCTTCTCCAACATATGCATAAGGAACGAGCTCGAAGCTCTCAGGATTTGAGGGTTAGAACCACCATGGCAACCCCGCCTAAGGGTTGCACAACCCCCACAAAGATATGGCAAATTCTGCCGGCACAATGATATGTGTAGATATTACGCTGGCAGTCCAGTTAGCCATTTCCGGTGCACGACTGTTCGGGGGGATCATAGCATGAAGATTCCCGGTTTTTCGTGGAAAATATCCCTCTCTTATGTCTGTTTTTTTTCCCCCATATGCAATGACGTGAACAATCAGCGGAACAAAACGTTTAAGCCGCAGCGATTTTCCATGCAAAGTCTTCACGAAGCTTATCCTCCACAGTATCTCTGACAATCTGTTCAAGGGTTTGTCCAGTCTTCCTACCGCTCATTTCAACATCGCCATTTCCTTTTCGAAACTCTGCGCCTCCTCGACATGCAGATTCGGCTAGTTCGTAGACCTTATCCCACGTATCAAGGCAAAATTCACCTTCACTTTCATTAAGAAGTAGATGGCCTTTAGATGAGAATGCCAGAACATGTAAGGATGCAGCAGTTTTGATACAGTCATATGAAGGGTGCTGAATCAGTTCGCCAGTCCCGGATACCGCGACTAATAAGGAAGTGAATATCATAGAGAGAGGGATGGCTGCAGATAGCAGAGCAAGTAGAGACGTGTGCAACAGCGAAGGTAGAATCGGAAGACACTTCACGGCGTCAAGTCAGTGGGATGCGAGGTTTCAGTATACAAGATATGCACTCGTATAATATGTTGTATTGGAGCGTTTGAAACTCGCTGTACTCACAGATCCACCGCGTTTGGTAACCTTTCCATCCGCTCCCTTATTCTCCAAAACAACCAAGGTGATTACAATTCCCCTTCTAGGCATAGACTTTTCCCGTACCAGTATAACTCTACTCAGGATGCTCCGCAAAATCCCTTCAACATATCGCTCACCAACGCCACTCATGCCAGCACCTGGCTTAACGAGGACCTCTATTGTAGCCTCCTCCGGCTTCTGAGCGTCTCGACGGCCAACTTCGATAGGGCCATTAACTGATCCAAGAATTTTATCTCCGTTGGGGGAGGTATAGGAAGCTGACCCATCCGGGAAACTGAGTGGAACGAGACAGGCTTCCGGAGTAGCCATTGGATGCAGAAAAAAGAGAAAGGAAGCGGGATGAGAAGTAAACTAAAGACGGTTATTGAAGCAGAGAAAAATAATGAGCCTTGGGGAACTTCTTTTTGGTATTTCTATGTCATAATAACTTCACAGAAAAAATGATTTGAGGTTTGGATATTATATTTTGGTTTGATGCTGGATATCACGGAGGATAGATGATCCGCCCTTTTGCCAGTGGGCAAATTCAGGAGAACTCAAAACTTAAAACAACTAACCACCTTTGTTGAAGACCGACATAAACTGGAGGATTTCAGCAATAATAATAATAATAATAATAGCAATAAATACTCTCTCTCTTTGTTGATTTACATTTCATTCATTGCCCGTGCATTGCTAGGGCTTGTCCAAAATATGGCTGCATCTATATCTGTAAAGGAAGATGATCAATTCCTGTTGAGCCTCCCGTTCTTCCCATTGATCAAATATTACCCTTGTCCCGATTTTCGTTATGACGTCGATGTTGCAAACCCACTGGAAGGCCTTAGCGACGATTTTAATATTGTTGACAATAGAATCAGCCAGGAACAAAATACTGAATCCGACCTGCCTAGATGGAAATAGGTCATGTGCTCTGGGGGCGATGGTGTTAAAAGGGATGATGGTGCATTTAGACACACGAGACTTCTTTGTGAACTTCATCTATGGATTATACAACATGTGAGATGTTCCAAATATTATCCTGGGTTGTGAGGATGTTAAAACCTAGCCACCGCTAACTGATTAGCGCAGAAACGTGCCCATCTCAAGACATCAAGGAACACCCCCTGGCAGGGTTTTGTGGGCGCACGCTTAGCATGCAGCGTCAACCTTCAACGCAGCATAGAAACTTGGGAGCTTCCTCCCATAAAAAAACAACAGCGATGGATAGCTTCCTACACAGGGAATCAATCAGTTAATGGCGAATGAACATCAAGAGAGAAAGCACCAAATTAAACAAAAAAAAAAAAAAGGGCATATGCGTCGAAAGGCCGTAACGGCACGCAAGATCATGCTTCGTACAAGCAGCCTGGACTATAATATTATGGTAACTCAGATATGCACATTCTTGATGCTGGATAGGTAGTTCGCATTGAAAGCCATGGAACGTGCACAGGGCCAAAGAACCTAAAACAGAACCACCTGGAAATCAAGGAAAGATTTCTGCGACCACCTCCTTACCGAGTGTGTGTGTGGGGGGGGTGGGGGGTTCAAACAAACGATTCCGGCTAATAATTCGTTGAGTGAATTTTCGTCCGTGTAATATTGTTATCTTAAGGTGGAGAATGATGAAGCCAAGACACCGTGGAGGAAACCAGAACCGCGGGGAGTTGGCGGAGGAGAGTTGTGTTGTTTCGGGGCACACGTCGCGGAGAAGAAACGCCAAGTCAAGTAGCCCAAAACCGATCTTCACACCTGTTCCCAACAGCCATTTCAGCAGCGGCCGTCAAATCGGAGCTGCGAACTAGGACCCATGGGGAAAGGCAACAACAGCAACCCCGCTCAAACCAAGCATGGCCAGAACTTGCCCTGATGATGACAAAATTTCGCTAGCAAAGCATAACGGCGGATCAAGGAGGAGAATTGGTCAAGTGGCATGGGGCGACAAAGCTGAGCAATTTCTCGCTTCTTTCTCCAGCTACGAGAGAATGTGCCACTCTAATTGATCTGCTTGCATGCCAGCTCGTCAGTCTAAGGCGCATGAAACGCTAAAAATCCCAACTCTGACTGGCTGAAGCGGGATCGATCGTTGTCTCCACGGTCACAAACATTTGTAACAGGTATGGGTGAGCCAAGCAAGTGGATAAAATCTCATATGTGTACATAACTTCGGGTATCGTCATAGGTGTGGCAGTGAAATCCCTAGTTTCTTGTCATCATCCTCGAATTGCAACTTATTGAAGCATTCCGATATCGTTGGGTGGTGGATGTGGAGAAGTCAGACTGAATAACTACCAAACAAACTATATCTATCTGGTGCCCCCATCCCATGTATCATTCCCCCCCCTTCTTCCCATTCCTTGCCCTTCTTCTTGACCTTTCCATTCTTGTTCTCTCTTTTGCTAGCAATTTATTTTTGAGTGGTCCATCCTCAACTACGACTTATACAGCCCCGACCTTCATTACCTGCTCGTCCAGTCTTTGTCGAAACTTTTCGCTCCTTTTGCTATATTATACCTCCTATTGAATGGGCATAGAGACCTCATCACCAGATGTCGAGGAATCGACAGAGCCTCCAAACACTTCTTCCATTCATGAAGGGCCCGAGCAACGTCCGGGATCAGCCCTAAATAAATCAACCTCCCATCTAAGGCTAGACGAGGGGGAGAAAGTCTCGACTAGCTCATACAAGGTCTTTTCCCAGGACTCCACAGTGCCTGTGACCCTTGATGAGTTTAAGAAGCGTCAAGAAATCTGTCAATATGCCCACACCTATTCCATTTCAGAGATCTCCCTCGCCCTGGGAGCTGATATCCAGTAAGCCATTCATGAGATTCCTCGATTAAATCAAATTTCATAACCATGAGGCCGGAACTGACTGTTGTCGCAATAGGCATGGACTCAGTAGTTCCGAAGCGACATCTCGCCTTCAGCGGGATGGACTTAACAAGGTTAAGGGAGCGGAGGGGGTTTCCTTGTGGAAAATTCTGTTAAGACAAGTGTCCAACAGTCTGACTTTAGTACGAACAGCATTTATTTCCCGACTGAGCCATCGCCAGCCAACTGGTATGGATCAATAACTTCGATATTAACTCTGGTGTGATGATGTACAGGTACTCGTCATAACCATGGCACTGTCCTTTGGGATCAATGATTATATAGAAGGAGCTGTAATAGCAGCGGTCATCCTTCTCAATATTGTTGTTGGGTATGTTATTTGCTTGTTCCTGTCAGTCCTATATATGTGTAGTTATACAGCACATGAATCTTTCAACCGGAACACGGCTAAACTTCTATGGCATCGAAAATAGTTTCGTCCAAGACTACCGTGCAGAAAAGACCATACTTTCGCTGCAGGCCCTCTCTGCCCCAGTGTCTAAAGTCATCCGGGATGGTCGAATAGAATCCGTGAGGGCTGAGACCCTTGTGATCGGTGATGTCGTCCAGCTGGCAGTTGGTGATATGATTCCGGCGGATTTGAGACTGTTCAACGGAATGAATGCCTCCACTGACGAAGCCCACCTAACAGGCGAATCGTTGCCTGTTTCCAAAACCCCATATGTCGTTTTCTCCCCTCGTGAAATGGCTGTGGGAGATCGTACGAATATGGCATATTCCGGGAGCACGATGACCCAGGGTCGGGCTACTGGAATCGTGATCGCAACCGCCATGCAAACTGAGGTAGGCAAGATTGCACAGCTACTACGCCAGCAGGAGCCAGTTGTTGAGGGTTCAAATGCTGGTCTTCGAACGTTGAAAAGGGCAAAGAGAACTATAGTTCACATCCTGGGCTTGGTAGGAACACCTCTTCAGGTGAAGCTCAGCAAGTTTGCTCTTTTGCTCTTCGCACTCGCTATTACCTTGGCGATTATTGTTTTCTCCGCCAATAAATGGGACGTGCACGATGAAGTATTGATTTACGGCATTTGTGTTGCGGTTGCTGTTATTCCAGAATCCCTTATCGCTGTCCTCACCATAACTGTTGCCGTTGGTACAAAGGCAATGGCAAAGGGGAACGTTATTGTTAGAAAGCTACAAGCCCTTGAGGCTGTCGGGGGAGTCACGAACATTTGCTCAGACAAGACCGGTACACTTACGCAAGGTCGAATGACTGCGCGAAAGGCCTGGATTCCTGGTACTGGAACTTTGACCGTCCACGATACCACGAACCCATTCGATCCTAGGAGCGGATTCGTACAAATGGATGGCGCAGATATTGATGCTGATAAGCTCAAGTGCGATAACGTCTTCACCACATTTCTCAACACCATAGCGCTTTGCAATCTGTCGACCATCTACAATTCTAGTGACAAGGTCTCCGTTGATAACCTGTCCGCGACGGATGCTGGAGATAACTGGACTGCTATTGGAGAACCCACGGAAATTGCTCTTCACGTTCTTGCCCTGAGATTCAACTCCGACAAACAGACCCTGCTCCAAGGTGGCCAACGAAATCAGCTGGCAGAATTTGCTTTCGATTCAGCAATAAAACGAATGACCGTGATTTACCAAAGCGCCAACTCTAATTTTGCAGATGCATTTACTAAAGGTGCTGCCGAGTCAATGGTACCTTTGTTAAACGTGTCTGAAGAAATGAAATCGGAAATTTGCTATGTCGTGGATAACATGGCTGGAGAAGGGCTTCGTGTACTGTGCGTGGCTCACAAGATAATTCCCGAAAACGAGTTTGAGCAGCTATCTGAGCGACAATTGACGGAGAAAGACCTAGATTTTGTTGGACTTGTTGGGCTGTATGACCCTCCGCGTGTAGAAACACCTGACGCAGTCAGGAAATGTCATACGGCCGGTATTACCGTCCACATGCTCACGGGTGATCACATCAAAACAGCCACAGCAATCGCCTATGAAGTCGGTATCCTTGGGAGCATTATACCTTCTGCCCAGGCTAGTACTGTGGTCATGGCTGCTGAGGAATTTGACAAGCTTTCAGATGCGGATATTGATGCAATTGAGGCGCTACCTCTTGTGATAGCGAGATGCAGCCCAACAACCAAGGTTCGCATGGTGGAGGCGATGCATCGAAGAAACTCATTCTGTGTCATGACGGGTGACGGTGTAAATGATTCTCCAGCCCTTAAACACGCAAATGTCGGTATTGCTATGGGAAAATATGGAAGCGATGTGGCTAAAGAAGCTGCTGACATGGTTCTTACTGATGATGATTTTGCATCTGTTGTGAAAGCTGTGGAAGAAGGACGCCGCTTATTCGATAACATCCAGAAGGTAGAAAGAAAAAGCAACTCTTTTAACATTTCCAACGAACCAAAAGAATTCCGTTCGCAGTTTCCGCTAACTTTACCACCCCGCTCTAGTTCCTCATGCATTTGCTGATCTCCAACATTGCCCAAGTGATACTACTCCTATTAGCATTGGCTTTCAAAGACGCAGATGGGAACTCCGTCTTCCCTCTTGCCCCCATAGAAATCCTGTGGGTGAATTTAATCACTTCCTCATTCCTCGCGTTGGGGTTGGGTCTAGAAAAAAGCCAACCAGATATTATGTATCGTCCCCCTCATGACCTACGCGTTGGAGTCTTCACCCGCGAACTAATCGTGGATAAAATGATGTACGGCACATTCATGGGATCTCTCTGCCTTCTGGCGTTCGTAACAGTCGCTTACGGCGCCGGAGGCTCCAACCTGGGAGACTCGTGCAACCAGGAATGGAACGAGACATGCGAAGTTGTTTTCCGCGCCCGTGCCACCACTTACGCAACAATCACATTCCTCCTCCTTGTCACTGCCTGGGAAGTCAAGCACTTCTCTCGCTCTCTATTCAATCTCGATCCCGCCCGCTTCTCTGGCTCATTTTCCATCTTTCCTGCCCTGTGGCAAAACCGGTTCTTATTCTGGGCCGTCATAGCTGGTTCCGTCATTGTGTTCCCAGTTGTGTATATACCTGTTGTGAACAAGTCGGTCTTCAAACATTCGGCTATCACATGGGAATGGGGTGTAGTGTTCGGAGCTGTCGTGATATACATTGCATTGGTAGAGAGCTGGAAGGCGATCAAACGGGCATTTGGCCTTGGGAGCGCCAGAACTAAGGTTCTGACGTTAGAAGAGGCAGAGATAAGAGAAGGGATGTTTCCAAGAGAAACGCCTGCATTGTCATCAAGATGTGAGACTGTGGAAAAGTAACCGGATGACGTAAACTAACCTCCCTAACTCAGGAATACAAACGATCGCAAAATGAGATAGGAAAAAAAGAAAAAAAGAAAAAAAAAAAAAAAAAAAAAAAAAAAAAGACCCCCGATTCTAACAGCACTATGTACAGCACTATGTACAGCGCTCTGAATCTGAAATATTCTCTGTTTTTGTAGCCTGATTTTCCACCCAGTTAAAACCCGATGGCACCCTTTCCCCCTCACCCACCTACCTCCCTATCTCCCTTAACCATGATCACTCAATCCGTGGATTCGCTTACAATAATTACTTCTCAATTCCATTTTACACATTGACGCAGTGACCATTTTCCCAGCGGAGCCTTTGCGCAGTCTCCCTGCCTTTCCCTGCACTTACATTTTACAACAGCTATTTCGCTCCTTTTAACACATCATCCAGCTTTCTGCTTCATTACTTTGTTTCATTTGTTTTAAAATATAGTCGTGGGATTGAATTCAACTTCATCACACTCCTTTGGCGCCATTCCAGGTCCCCCTTCTCCCTCTCAACTAAACACCACGCCCTATAACCTATAACCTGCAACCTGCAACCTGCACTTAACCAGGTACTAGTATAGTACGATTTTAGCTTCCCAGAGACAGCAATTCGAGAGAGGGTTAGAATGAGATGATAAGTTAAGTAGTGACGAGAGAAACCATTACAAACCTATCCCAAGCTGTTTGCAACACACAAGAGGCCACAATGAGAGAGGTCGCTAAGCTATAATCCTATTCTTCATTCATATTCAGGATCGCTGTTGCAATTTTCCAATGGTAGTTTTTTTATATGGTAAACCAATAGTTTCAAGCAGGAAAAATGACTGCGCGAAAAAAATATAGAGCTTTGGCAAAAGGTTGTGCAGCAGAGTGTTTTAAAGAAGTAAAATACATGTTCGATGCTAGGAAACGGAGAGATATATATAGGAAACACGGAGAGATAAGAGATATTTATACGATAGCATAATTGAGATGTCGCTGAGTGTATCGCATCCGTATGTTCTAGAAAAATAAAGAATGAAAAGGGGGGAAAGGAAGTGACATCGTTCTTTTTCTATCATAGCGGTGTCTGCGGTCGTAAAATATACACATGAGTTGCCAGTTGTATTAGCATATGAGTTACTAACAAAAGATTAAAGAGTGGGAAAGAAAGAAAAGAAAAAAAAAAAAAAAAAGGCAAAATCGCTAAACCGTCACGGACATAATAAGAATACATTCATCGAGAAGAACCTAATTGGTGAGATAAAACTCCCTCCACTCGCTGCGTAGCCGTGATCTTTATTTCTTTGTTATCCGCCCGTTCGTCTTCCTGGCTCAAACTTCCATAACCCGTGTCCGTGCTCTCTAAACTCTCACGACGCACGTTCTCGACATTTTGCTGCGATTCTTCCCACCCTCCATCACCACTATGGCTTGTCCGACCCTCACTAGCGGTGGACTGGGTGATTTGGGAGCCTTGTGCGCTATTGTTAACAAGATGGCCTTCCCATTGTATCTCGGCAGCTTCAATGGGAATGCCAACGCTCTGGCAGACATCAACGCATCCCTTGACAGCCTTCTCAACTAGTTCCATATCGAACCCGGAGGACACGGGGTTATAAGCGTTGCGAACCCAGTAGATGAGACCCGAGGCAATACGGGCGAGATCAGGGGTCGGAAGAGTATGGCCATCAGTATCGGATGATTCACCGTCCTGCCGGGCCGAGGAGGTATCGGATGAGGACGAGGATATGGGCGAAGAAAGAGAAGAGCCCAATACCATCCACGGCTCAGCTGCAACGACATGCAGGAGGTGATATAGCGATGCAAAGCCAAGCAGTGTCAGCTCGACGGGATCGACTGGGAGGATGTTGAAGAGGGTAATTGCATTTTCAAGAGTCAACTGAGGGGAGGTGACTGGATTGGTGTCTACTTGGCCCCGCAGGATGGCTGCGATCATGGCGCAACGAACAGCAATGGATATCTCAGCCCTCGCCGATGGCGGGACGGATGAGTCCAGAAAATTAGTGCTGCTGATGGCTGGTTGGCTTTTGGATCGTGGAAGAGCAGCAAGTGTGGTGTTGATATTTGCTACTCTGTCTTCGTCGAAGAAAACAGCTTTTATCACCGCAGCTCGTGTGTAAGCAGCGGATGCGATAGGTGCAACATTCAACGCCAGAGTCAGGCCTTGTTCAAAGGCCTTTGTGCGTTGAGCGGACGGTTCGACAGTATCGACATCAAGGCAATGGATCAATGCGTTCTGTAGGGCCCTGCTCGACCACCAAGCCGCAAGAGCATCAAGGGGCGAGCGTACAGCGGTATCTTCAACCACAATATCCAGCATGGCATCTTCGCCATATGTAGCTTCCTGTGTACATCTGTTCCATGCCATGTTCGATGCTCGCTGAATGATTGCATCGGTCATGACATCGTCGATGTTTGCGTCGAGCAGAGTGGCAAGGTGGTCTGGGAGAGAATCGTCATGATCTTTGGGCAGGCTCTTTTGCAAGTTTCTCGCTATCTCCCATTGATAGCTGGCCAGAAGAAAAGCAATGTGGTTTGAGAGCCTAAAGGCCCAAGAGCCGCGGGAACCCACCATCCAGAGCAGGAGACGGCAGTGGAGAGCTTTCAACATGACCCGTGCTGGGGTTGACGGCAAGGTGCCAGCGGCAAAGATAGTCAGAACCATTCGGCTCTTGCTGACTTCAGGGTCTCCGCCAGTCAGTTGAGCGTCGATCGCGATGTCCCACGCCTTGGCCCTGGCCGTCTCATCTTCTTCCGTAATCCCTGTGAGCCAGGAATACAGCTTCCAGCCTAGAATGCAGCTCAGGACATATTCCATGCAACGCCACGTCACCGCAAACCACTCCGGGAAGAAGTTGTGACTGGGTACCCAGACGGTCTGGATGCTTGTAAGCCAGGCTTCCCGTCGGAACTCGATTGGCGAAACAGCAGCTGGGTTTCTTGAACCAGTGGTTGATTTTGCCGGGTGCTTCGCCCGCCTTGGAGCTGAATTGAAGAGATAGAGAAAAACGGCAAAAGCGGCCCCAACAACGACGAGAGAAGTTAACGCGAAATGAGATAAGGCACGGATCTGCCAGGACGTTGTCGTTGGGAAGCAGAGATGCGTTTGACAAAACCGATGAATTTCGCCAGCAAATTGGAGCGGTAAACCCAGCAACCCTTTCTCAGAAGACTCCGACTTGTGGCTCTCGAAGCCGCCAACTATCATCAGAGCAGCCAGAGTGCCAAGCATAAACTTGTTGGGGATGAAGGTCCTCTTCCTCTCCGAGGATGTATAGGTTGTGGTTGTAGTATTTGGTCGTTGGATGAAAGAATCCGCATAGTGCGGTTGAGGGCCGGTCATACGCATGCGTTTAAAGTACTCGGGGACTTTGATTAGTCCCTCGGGCGGGTAAAGGGGATTGGGCGAGCTTTCGGGTGAAGGGTCATCGTTCTGTGAAAAGACGCCGGGTGAAGACCCAGTGCCGGAGTCCGTGGAGACGGTGTAGGCGTCCGGTGATGAGACGGAACCCGACATGGATGCATAGTTCACCACGCTCTGTTCCTGGACTTTCTCTAACTGCCGCAGTCGATTTTTCAGGGCGACGTTTTCTTCCTCCAAGCGTTTATTCCGCAGCTCCAGATGGCGGATATACTCAGTGGCCTTGGACAGAATGGAAGCTTTGTTGAGCTTGTTGGATGACGAGACGATCTCATCGTCATCCTGAACCGCTTGGCAAGAGATTCCACTTTTCTGTTTCGCAAGAGCTCGGAGGGACGGCACGCTGTCTCGCAGTTCAGCGATTTTCTCGTTCAGATTGGCACGGTATCGTTTTTCAATGACGTTGTGTGACCGCTTCTTTGACGGCAGGTTCTTTGAAGAAGTCACGGGGGAATCGCCTGCGCCAGCTGAGCCCGGAGGCTCATCTGGTCGCGTCTTTCTTTTCCGATCCGTTATTGGGAAGGACGGCAAGGGTGCAGAGGGGTGCAAGCTACACTTCTTCCCTTCTGGCGGTTTCGTGCGATGGTTGTCAGCAGGCAGAGGTATTGTTGCCCCAGAGTTATTCCATCGCCCATCGGCCACGCCAGGGCTGAGGGCAGAATCAAAGAAGTCGGAGGGAGCAGGAGAGGTATCAGACACGCATGATGGTTCCTGAGGGCTGACGGTCTCACATAGTGGTAATGAGCCTGCCGTAAATGTGAATGCGGAGTCCACAGGCGGAGGAGGGTCGAAACATTTTAGAGGAAGGGTGTGGTTGGTGTCGATCGTCTTGATTTCTGTTTTCGGAGGCAAGCTGAAGAGATCCGTATGGGCCTGATATATCATCAGACTCGAACCCGTCCCACTGCATCCATTGAGACCAGTCGGACGTGAGGGCCTGTGGGGGGGAGTTATTCGAGGAGAAATCCGTCGACGGGCTCATCGACACTCTGAGGGGCGACTGCGAGGAGGACATGGCAATAACAAACAAACAAATCAATAAAATAAAAAGCTGGTTCCCGCTTCGAAATAAGAGCATAAAGGCGGACGATAAAATGATCGATTCCTGTCGGTTTCCTCGTCTCTGGTAAGGAGGGGGGGGGGGGGGGGGGGGGGGGGGGGG